GTTTTCGATGACTATCCTGGAAATAACATATTGTTTGTAACATTTGATGATATGGTGTATGGATTGGGATTTAATAGTAGGGGTCAGCTCGGGTTAGGACACAACACACCCATTCATACACCACAACGAGTGCCACAATTATGCCATCAAAATATACATCAGTTTATGAATGGAGAAGACTTTGCATTGGCTGTCAATACCGATAATAATGTGATATTCAGTGTTGGTCGCAATAATAAGGGACAATTGGGACAGAATGTGAAAAGAGACTGGGATGTTTACAATAAACCAGTTCCTATATTATTTTTCCAAGAAAACAATTTAATAATTTTACAAATAAGCTGCGGAAAGAGTCATACAATTGTGTTAACCTCAGATGGACAGGTATTTGGCTGGGGTGGTAATGACATGGGCCAGGTTGGTTGTGGTGAAAAAATGTTTCAATTAGATCCAACCTGTATTAAATTTGGAAGTGACTATCAAATTAGTAGAATTGAATGCAATTGTTATACATCATTTGCCATTACCAGTAATGGACAGGTACTTACATGGGGACAGGTGGATAATAATATAATAAAAACACCATATATATTGGAAAATGCAATTAACATACAGAGTGCATGTTCAGTAAGACGTTTATATGTTCTAGTATATTTGTTGTCAAACCATGGTCACTTATATATATATAACTTTCATAATAAGTATATGCAAATACTTTCACATTTTATGTTCAATGAAATAATACATTTGTATCACAAAGATAACTCAGTCATTGTGGGTAAATCTGGTGATAAAATATATGAAATTGATGACCGAGATCTGTTTGAAACAATTTATACTTCATTTGATGATTACTTTTCACATGAATTACAAATCACTTTAAATACCATTTCAACACATATTCAACAAAATACACAAATTTGTGGTAAATATTACAATAATTTCATAATTGTTGCCTTAATATGTTGTGCATTGAATTGATTTTTATTATTATATTTATTATAGAAACTCACGATAAGATGAATAATTCAATATCATTTGAAAAGTCATTTGATGTAATAAATAAGCTTGGTGAGGGTGGCTATGCACAGGTATATAAAGTTCAAAATATTTGTGACCATAAATTCTATGCAATAAAGAAATGTTCATTAAATGGTAAATATATATAATTTTATTTGCGATATTTATAATCATTTTTATTATCTTTGAATTTTTCTAAAGGATTGACAGACAAAGAGAAACAAAATGTTTTGAATGAAACGCAAAGTCTTGTGAAACTTCGGTCAGAGTTTGTGATTCAATACTACTATTCATGGATTGAATGCAAAAATATGGATAGACTGTAGATATCCACCAAATGATTGTATTCACTATTCATGGATTGAATGCAATTGTCTTTACTTTCAAATGGAGTTATGTATCGATAATCTAAACAATGTTTTAGAAACAAAGAAGGCACTGTTTACTGAATTAATGACTAATTTTGAATTTTATATATCTTTGGAAATATTTCGTGAACTAACAGAATGTGTGAATTATTTGCACGAAAAGCATATCATTCACAGAGATCTCAAATCGGAAAATGTGTTGATTTCAATGGACGGACGCATAAAGTTATGTGACTTTGGTTTGGCTAAAGAATTCACAGATTGTGATGAATATCTTATGTCAAAAGAAAGACATACACCAGATTTTGGTGTCATTCCATATCAAGCACCAGAAGCCATGACTAGTGAATACAATCATTTGGTGGATATCTACAGTCTATCCATAATTGGGGCAGAAATATTTGGGTTCAACACTTACGATATAATTGACGGAACGTAAGCTAATTGATTTGTATAAATCTCATATTTATAATAATATTATCGAAAATATGAAATTTATGTAGACATTTTTCATTTAGTACATATTCCATGAAAACATCATTTAAAGATGTCAACACAGTATTATTAGATATATGGGATTTATTATTATCAATGAGTGTTAATATGTATCGCAAAAACGGTTCAACAGATTGGAGACAAAGACCCGAATGTTCGCACATTTTATCACAATTACAGCAAATAGTGATTAAACCTAATAATCAAGAATATGGCACAGAATCATTGAATTTAATTATAGAGTTTAAATGTGAATATTTTTACAAAAAATTTATTAAATACTACCATTATTATTGTGTTGGAACTTCACTCGAAAAATCTGGTAATGGTGAGTTTTATATTCTATAATAAATTGCATTTTATATTTAAATATGTTAAAATATTACTTGATTTCAGACATACATATAAAAGAATCATTTTTCAAAAAAATTAAAGAATATAAAGAATTAAATAATAAGGAGGCATATTGGACAGTATATTCAGTAATATTTAGTAAAGCTAATGAACATTATTCATTGCTTAAAATTAAAGTACCTGGTATAGTTATTTGTGAATTCAGTATGCCATAATGTGTTATATATTGAATAAAATATCAGGTCTGAAAAATGATATTGCAATTACCCTGCTTTAATAAACATTATAAATTTAGCATATGTTCCCAAAGGGACAGTCTACTTCGAGCACCGTTAGCTTACCACATGTTAAATATTCTATATCTCAAACAAAAGAATGAACATTTCCACAATCGATACACCAAAAATTAATTGTTCTTAATAACCATATTTATTGGTAATTGAGGCTCATAATATCTCACAATCTGACTTTTAACAATATAAGTATAAGAATATAAATTTTGGAAATTTTATGTATCTACTAGCTTTCCCAAATCCAAAAATCAAATTAATTGAGGATCCTTAGTTTTACCCAAAAAATGTCCTTAATTTCCATGATCTTTTAAAAAGTGATCATAAATTTCCTTAAGATCCATTTAAATTGTAATATCTTTGAAAATATTTCTTTGAGCATATTACCGATTCCTTGAAAGTCCTACTTGAACCTGGAGATTTGGGTTCCCTAGGATCTACCAATTCCTAATTTAGTAAATAATTTTTGTGACGGCAACGGAAGGATGTGCATGTGTTTTATTTTACTAGATGTCATTGTGGAAATCTAATTAATGCATTGAATTAAGCTGAAAAGTGAACAAATAATTGTACATTTTAAAATTATCAAATAACTATTAAGGCAACTGTCCTAGAGCATGTCAATGTTAAAAAATTTGCATTGATATTCAATATTTGAAATTGAAAAGGATTTTGTATTACTCTATTGTTGTCTATTTTTGTAATGGTAAAAATATTAAATACAAATTTGCCAATTTGAAACGCTCTAACACTCTAAGTTACTTTAAAAGTTATTTGAAAAATTTAATGTTAATTTTTAGAGCTTATTCAACGCATTAATTAGATTTACACAATGATTTCTTGTAAAGTCACGATAAAACATATACCAATTTAATTAGATACTAGAAATAGGGTGACCAGAAAATTTTGAGCACCAAGGAGGACATTTGCCATACATTGAATGTTATGGGGAGGACGTGAGGAGGACAGGCTATTTTCAAATCTGAATTAATTATTTACCTGTATACACTTAAATAACTTAAAATACTCATCATATAAATTCGAAATATTCTTACAAAATAATTAAATTTTAAATAATTAACTTTATAAACGTACTATATTTATTGAGGCGAGTATGAATTTTATTTGATAAAACAAACTTTAAATAGTATTTTGTCAAAAATAGTATTGAATTCAATATACAATCGTATTTATATATACATACTTACTATAAAACATCTAAAATTAGCAAAAAAGATACATTTTTATGCGATTTATGTCCAAGGAGGACATCTCAATGTCCTCCTCAGACACCGGGGAGGACAGTGTTTTGAGGGGTCCAAAGGAGGATAATCCTCCCCACGGAGGACGTTCTGGTCACCCTAACTAGAAAGAATTTACATATTAAAAACTTGTTCACCTGCATGGTAGGCTTCATGTGTACTGTATATAATTTATGAGAAATTTAATATCTAATGAATAATTAATAATTAAATCTTTAAATATTTGAATAAATATTTTTATTTGAGCAACAAGTTACACTGTATGTGCAAATAATTCTAAATACTTTTTATTTGGTTTGTAACATTTCTTGGCATACTGTAAATATTTTTATTATTTTTAATATTAAAAAATATATTAATATAATATAATCTCAAAATTTTTAGATAAATTATCTGATATGGTTAATTTGGTAAATTTTACAAAATCTAACATAAATATACGAACACCATATTTGTTAACTCATTATAACTCGTGGATTGAATTAAATTATCTATTTATACAAATGGAATATTGTTCACAAAATTTAAAAATGTTTTTACTAAACAAGGAAATAATTTTTAAAAATGAGACCTCTGTTGACATGATTTGCATTGATTTCTACATATCGTGTGAATTAATGCGAGAACTTCTACAATGTGTTCATTATCTCAACGAGCAAACGTGCAAGATACATTGCAGATCAATTGATACACAAAATATTTTCATTTCGTATAATCCACAAAATTCAAGATTTGTTAAAATTAATAATATTGGATACTTATATGAACTAAGTTCTTACAAAACTTCATCGGATAAATCTATTAATAAACGATTAGGTGATATTGCATGGCAATTATTCCAATTTATCTTGGATAGGTAAGTATGCATTTTGAATCAATCGTAGAATAGAAATATAACTATAAATCAAATGAAACATTTGCCACTAGATGAATATATTTGATAAATATAATTAATATTTGTTTTTATATAGGAATGAATTGATAAAGGAAATAGGAGAAACAAATGGCCTAGAAGATTTTATTAATAATTTAAGAAATAAAACATATGATACAATGAACATTTCTCAATTATTAAATAAGTATAATAAGTTGTTTAAACAAAGCATAAATCTTGATAATTACAAGATAAAACAATTTATAGAATATATTAATACTACTTCTATTGATGAAAATGAATTGGAATTTTTTGTTGATTTTTTAACCAAAAAACTGGGAATTGATAAAAGAATCTTAAATGATAGTGAAAACGATTTACACAAATCTCGTGGTAAGAATAATATAAAAATATATTGTCTAAAGCCTGTTTAATTATACTAAAATATCGTATAAAATTTTAATATAATTACTAAAATATAATTATATCGTTTCCAGGCAATCAAATGATACCATTAAACTCAAATTTAATCTTCAGTTAATTAATTTTTATCTTTTATTTAATTAGTTGATTAATTGACCTTGATTATTTAATTAAACTCAAATTAAATGGTATCATTTGAATAAATTAAAATATTTTTAAAAATAATATATTGACTACAATAAATTAACCCTTTTAGAAAATTATTATGAAAATAATTTCGAACAAATTGAGATGATTGATAAAGGTGCATATGGAATTGTTTATAAGGCAATAAATAAAGTCTACAAAAAACTATATGCTGTTAAAATCGTCGACACCTCGCGTAAGTATACATGTAACTTTTTAAATTATATTGTAATGAATATTTTGTAACTAGACTTTAATGACAACCAAACTAGAAGAGTTCACAGAGAGATAGATATTGTTATTAAAAATGAGTTATCAAGCAAATATGTTGTGAAATATGAAGATGTTTGGTTTGAAACAAATTATTTATATATTCAAATGGAATTGTGTTCGCAAAATCTGAAAAATATATTGAAAAATAAACGGCAAGTTTTCAAAAGACAAGCTGGTGAATCAATGAATTGTATCGAATATTATATTTCGTGTGAAATATTCCGAGAGATTTTAGAATGTGTTCAGTATTTGCATGAATTGAATCCACAGGTCATTCACAGAGACCTCAAACCAGAAAACATTTTAATCACAGAAAATAGTGTAAATGGTCGTTTTTTAAAATTATGTGATTTTGGTCTGGCTATAAAACATAATAAAGATAATTATATTACCAAAAATAAACATACAGCTGATATTGGCTCACTACGATATGTTGCACCGGAGATATTGCAAGCTCGAAAATATGGGCATAAGACCGATATTTATTCTTTGGGATTAATTGGCAGCGAAATATTTGATGTAAATATTTATGAACTTGATATTGAAGAGTAAGTTAAAATTGTATAATGTATTGTAGTTTATGGCCCAATGGGCATTTATCAATCACGCATAATTAAATGGTCCCAATTAGGTTCTACCTTAAAAGGCCTAAACTTGAAAAGGCCTACACCCGAAAAGGCCTAAACTCATATAACTACCTGATCAGTGGACATATTTTTGTCAGATGATAGGAAAAGACGTATCTCGACCTAACCTAACCTAAATTCAGTCAAAAGACCTTTGGTCAGTTAGTTATTAAAGTTTAGGCCTTTTCGGGTTTAGGCCTTTCCTGTTTTAGGCCTTTTCGGTGAGTCCCAATTAAATGTTATATGTATGACAAAATATTTTCATTATATTTTCATAGATCATAATTTAATTATATTTATAGAAATGACATTGATGAAATAAATGATATAATCACAAAACAATTTGCTGAGATGCAACGTATCTTACCATCAATGATAATAACACCAAATTGGAACATTCGACCTGAATGTTCAGAAATTTTAGCAAAATATTCAACTTGGTCAATTGATGAAACGGTGTTAATAAATTCCGATATTTTAAATATAATTATGGATGAGTTACAATTACTGGAAAATAAATTTCTCTATAATTTCCTTAAAAGTAAACTACAGAATCCCATACAAACCCCGTCAGTGGGCCAACCGATGCCTAACAGTGAGCCCTGTTTTCAGTTAGCCATCGCATCTGAGAGACAGAAGAATTTGTTTGCCATTAAAGAGTTGGAGCAGACGTTGAAAGAGGCGAAGAGGAAAGAGATGGAGTTAAAACAGAAACATCAAATGGTTCTCGAGCAACAGCATGCTAAACACCAAGATAAGGAGCGACAGTTTGAAACCAATTATACATCATTTGATGATTACTTTTTAAATGAAAGGCAAATCACTTTTAATACCATTTCAACTCATATTCAACAAAATACATCAAATTGTGGTAAATATTACAATAATGTCATAATTGTTGCCTCAATATGTTGTGCATTGAATTAATTATTATTATTATATTTTATTATAGAAACTCACGATAAGTTGAATAATTCAATATCATTTGAAACGTCATTTGATGTAATAAATAAGCTTGGTGAGGGTGGCTATGGGCAGGTATATAAAGTTCGAGATAAATGTGACAATAGTTTCTATGCAATAAAGAAATGTTCATTAAATGGTAAATATTTTGAATTTTATATTTGCTATATTTCTAATCATTTTAATTATGTTTGGATATTTCTAAAGGATTGACTGAAAAACAAAAACAAAATGTTTTGAATGAAACGCAAAGTCTTGTGACACTTCGGTCAGAGTTTGTGATTCGATACTACTATTCATGGATTGAATGCAATTGTCTTTACTTTCAAATGATAT